AAAATGTTTCCTTTGTTCCTTTATTTTCAGCTTTTTTTTTTTTTCTCTGAGCTAGATTTTTCATCTCTGGATTATATTGCAATTTCAAATTTGTTCTCATTCTAAATGATTTAAAAGATTGAAAAGTAAAATATAATCTATTCAAAGGCTATAAAATTTTAATAAATGTTCATCAAATTGTAAATTAAACTAAATGTAAAAAAATCAAAAGATGAACATTATTATTATTTTAAAATATACAATGGAATACTATTCAGTCATAAGAAATAATGAAATACTGCCATTTAGGTCAACATAGATGGTCCTTGAGAATATTATGCTAAGTGAAATAAGTCTGTCAGAAAAAGGTAAGAACCATATGATTTCACTCATATGTGGGATATGACACTGAAACTCATGGACACAGACAACAGTGTGGTGGTTACCAGAGGAAAGGGGAGGTGGGAGAAGGGGGCCTAATATATGATGATGAAAGATGTTTTGACTTTGGGTGGTGGGCACACAGTGCAATATACAGATCTTATATCAGAAATGTACACTTGAAACCTAATTAAACAGTGTCACCCGAATAATTTTAATTGAAAGTAACTTAAAATTATAATAAAATTTCAAATTATAATTACTTTATGTCAAAATGTAAAAAAACACATTTGAATTATTTAACATAAAGCTAAACTATTTTATTTGATTATTTTCAAATTTAATTAAATCTTACTCGTTTTTTTAGGAACACTATTTATTATTCTAGCATGTAATGTTCATTCTCATTACCAATGTAAAGAATCAGTCCCATGCTTCATGCCTGTTATATCTACAAACAAACATAAAATTGTCAGAGCAAGATGAATTATTTAATGTAGGAAAAGATTTCTTAGCTGTCGTGGGGAACCGATGTGAAAACCTCTGGAACCAGGAGATGGAATGTAAACACAAAGCAAGAAAATGGATGTTTTGTGCTACTTTGCCATGCACAAATCTATTGCATCTGTACTACCTTCAAAGAAGGATTTAATTATGTTCTTCTCTTGCCTAAGTTGCTCCTACTGCTCAAGTCCCACAGCATCTCTGACACTGGCAATAGCACACCTATAAACATCCAGGGCATTCACATGCATTTACCTTTTGTTTCGGGGACTCAGGGCCAGAGATGTGAGGAAGCATTTTCCTGGGGTTTGAGCACCCCCAGGAGTGGAGGTTCAGGATTGGTTGGGGAACATGCTATGTCAGAGCTGAGTGCTGGATGCCAAGTAGCAGAGCTGATGGTAAAGTCTTTAATAAATACATTTTCTAATATGTGTGTAATGTGTAGCAGCTTCTAAAACCTGGGGCTCAGGATGGAGGCCGTGGTGCCTAGCTTTAAGGGTAGTACTACACAGGTTGAATTGTGTCTACTCTCAAGATGAAATTGAAGATGAGCACTTAAGGACTGGAAATAAGGCAGAAACACTGTTTGGAGCCAACGTGGCTCCTGTGATATTTGAGATGAATATCAAAAGCCATAGCTTCGTGACTCCACTTAACTGATGATTCTGGTTAAAACAATGCCACAGAAGCTAGCCTTCCCCTAAACACACACACACACACATACACACACACACACACACACACACACACACACACACACAAGGTAGGATTTACAGACTTGCCTTGCCTGTGAATGGATTACATATACTCTGCTGCATAAAAGGCATGTAACCTGCCCTGGATGGTGTGGCTCAGTTGGTTGGGCAGTGTCCCATTCACTGAAGGGTTGCTGGTTTAAGTCCCAGTCAGGGCACATGACTGGGTTTCAGGCTCAATCCCTGGTGGGGGGTATACAACAGGCAGCCGATGGATGTTCCACTCTCACATCAATGTTTCTCTCTCCCCTCTCCTTTCCTCTCTCTCTAAAAATCAATGAAAACATCTTAAAAAATAAAAGGTGGGAAAACTATACCTTATTCCCTTACACTGGGACCTAAGTGAAACACACAAGTAGTACCTGCAAAAAGCCCACCCCGAACCGATCACTGACATCCCCTTGGAGACTGCTTGAGTCTAAAGTTTCTCAGAATTGCCATGAGTTTTCAGATTCTGAGGCTGATTTGCCAAGTCATTATGGTAATGCGTGGAATTGCTGAACAATGGAGGATACTTTCTGCCACTGAGATGTCTCCAATCAGATTTTACAGGCTGCTCACAGGAAAGACACTAGTATGGCTCTGGGCCCAGGGGTCTTTCACTCAGGACTACAGTTCATGCTCCTTCTAGCCAGAGGGGCCAACCCCTGCCCCATTATGGTCATTGGCCAATCAGAGAAGACATCCTGATCATGACCCTTTTACTTATTTATCACTAAAAAATATTTATTTATTAAGCTCTTTCTATGTGCCCAACACATTTCTTATGGCCAGTGAATTAACCAAATCCCTGACCTCAAGGAGCTTACATTCTGTTGGGACAGTGGATAGTGGGAAATTATCAGTATCTGCCCATCAGATGCCAGCTGATCAGGAAGATATAGGAGGGTGGGAGGATAAGATGTGCTGGGTGGCATTTGCTATTTAGGTTAATTGTGCAGAGACAGTCTTCCTGCTAATGGGATGTTTAAACAGAGACCTGAATGAAGTTGAGTGTACAGGTTATGAATATACCTGGGGCAGGAACATTCCGGGCAGAGAGAACTGTAAGTAAAAAGGGATGTGTTAGGGTGTCATTCAGAGAAACAGCTCAGGAATCTGGGGTGGCAGAGGCAGGGAGAGTGAGGCGGGGATGTGGAGAATAACGTCTGAGAGGTAAGGATCCAGGAATAACCACAACCGTCAATTAAAAGATCTCCAATCTGGCTCCAGTCTGCTTGCTCAATGTCTCCAAGGAGGCTTCCATCGGGTCCAGTGGAACATCCAGCCCATTAGCTCCTCAGTCCTGCCATTGGGCCCATCAGCCTTTCCTGAGCTAATCCCAGGCCTGCAGCTGCCCTCCCCAGGGACCGTGGGCAAGTCATTTCCCATCCTCAAGCTTCAGCTGCTTCATGAACACTGAGCACCACTCTGGGCCTCAGCATCTGTGACAAAAGCAGATCCTAAAGATGATCATCTGAAACAGAATGACAACCACTAAGACAGGGATAAGTGGGAAAACCATTCCAAGTCAGGAATTCTTCCTGGGAACAAAGTGGTCATGCCCTGTGTCCAGGGCTGTGGGTGGTGGGGACAGAGAGGGCTGCGACTGTCTCTGGTGGCTGAGCTCCAAGTCTGGGAAACCTGTCCAACTCAGAGCTGTTCTGTAATCTCTTTCAAAAAGCCCTGGTAAAGAGGCGCTGCCGATCGATCTGTGGTGCCAAAGTGCTTGCCCCTTTCCTGAGGGCAGTGCCCCTGCATATTTAACAAGGCAGGTAATAGTCCTAAATGGGGGTGGAATTGAGTTGGGTGGTTTGGGTCAGCCACAGCCTGGGTTATAAAACAGAAAAGAGAGGACGAACACTTTTTATTGATTTGGGCCAATTTTTTCTTACTTTATTTGTTGCTTTAAATCTATGTACTTCGCTCCCAGCAGCTTCCTGTCTAGATAATAGAAAACACTTTCTGTAAGTGGTTAGCTTGACAGGCTTTCATTTGTACCTGGGCTGCCAGGGGCCACTTGTGACTCCTATATATATGCTTACATGTACCTGTGTACCTAGGAATCATTTGTTCATTCATTCATTCATTCATCCATTCAACCAGCTTTGATTGAGTACCTTCTACTTACTTGGAAAAATGCTTGCTGCTTACAAAAAAGATGAAATAAATTTTTCTACTCTGAGCAAACTCCCAGTCTGATAGAACAGGCATGTGAGGCTGGCTACATGGGCAATATAATGTGTTATGATGAGTGACATGCAGAACCCTCTGGAAAGAATGGACACAGCTCATCCGGCTTAGCTTGTCTGTCAAAGCAGAAATTTCAGCCTCTGTCTCTGGTTGATAGCCACTCTTTATCTTAATAGTCGCTTTTTAAGTAATCAAATCATTGAATATTTTGGGAGTTTTGTTTCCCAAAATGAATTGGTGAAACCGGGTTTTAACAAATTCCCTGGTATTCATACAAAAGTATCTTCTAGGCATATAGGTAGTTGTTGTTTGTCTTTTGCCTGGGAAGTAATTATAAGAGTGGATAAGAGACTGTCTTTGGAGTCAAATAGCTAGGATTCAAATTCTAGATGCACTTTTCACTATTTCTATTCCATAGGAAAACTGAACTCCATAAGCCTAAATTTCCTATCTGTAAAATGGTGCTTGTGGCAGGAACACCTTCATAAGGTGCCTGGCAAATAGCATTGAAGTAATAGTATCTACGACTGTTAGAAAAGATCAGAAGCTCCATGAAAACATACTGCATCTGTAAGAAGGGACCATTGGCGTGTAAAAAATACACTAGCCAAAATACGAAATTAGGTCAACAGTTCTCAACCACAGGAGATTTTGCTCCAGGAGAAACATTTAACATTATCAGGGGGACATTTGGAGTTTTCACAGCTCAGGGAGTGGGGTGCTAGTGATTTAGGGGGTGGAAGCCAGTACTCTGATGAATATCCTACAATATACAGGACAGCCTCCATGACACTCATATTGCTCAAAATATTTACAGAGTTGAGGTTGAGAACCCCTGGATTAGCTAAAGGCATCTGTTGAAGTTGATAGGAGACCTGTTAGCAACAAGGGCTACTTTGCCTCAAAGCATAATTGACAGATATCTATTCCTTGACTCAGAACTTATCTATAATAATCTATAATAATAAAAGCATAATATGCTAGTTAGACTGGACAGCTGAATGACTTTCCAGACGTCATTCCGGACATCCTTCCAGATGAAGCCGTGGCAGCAGGGGCCAAGGCAGAAGTGGTTAGGGGTGATCAGACAGGCAGGCGAGCAGTTAGGAGTGATCAGGCTTGCAGGCAGAGAAGTTAGAGGCAATCAGGCAGGCAGGCAAGTGGTCAGGGGGTGATCAGGCAGACAGGTGAGTGGTTAGGGGTGATCAGGTGTTGGAGACCGGGTGTAAGCTGACATGGTCCTTGCACCCGAAGGGGCTAGCAAGGCTGGGACCCTTACCCACACAGTTTTCCCAGACTTGTTTGGATGGCAGTTATCAGTAGAATTAGAGCAACCTTTGTAGAATGAGAACAGCCTTTCCTGGCTTACCAAGAAGTCTGTAACTATTTACTGAGATATGCTGTACCGAGAATTTGTCCTTCTGCTCTGTCTCTCCCTTAGAGATTAAGAGAAACAAAGAATACATTCCTCTTGACAGACCTCCTATTCAGTGTGTTGTGTATAAAAAGCATTGTGTGGTTAATAAAGCTGCTACAGTTCCTCGATTGAGCTGCAGTCCTCCCGATCCCGCTTTCCTGTCTTTCTTTCTTTTCTCAATTCCCACCTCCCTACCTCAGCCCGGCTCAACCTGTCAGGCTGGCCCTGACAATCAGGCAGGCAGGCGAGTGGTTAGGGGCAATCAGGCAGTCAGACAGGCAAACAGTTAGGAACCAGGAGTCCCGGATAGCGAAAGGAATGTCTGACTGCCGGTTTAGGCCCGATCCCGGGATTGGGCCTAAACCGGCAGTCGGACATCCCCCGAGGGGTCCTGGATTGCGGAGGGTGCAGGCTGGTCTGAGGGACCCCCTCCATGCACAAATTTTATGCACTGGGCCTCTAGTTTATTTAATAAAAATTGAGTACATCTTCCTGACCCTTCCCTGGGTGCTCAGGACACTGAGGCTCAGCCTGTGAAAGAATGACTTGTGGGTACCTGGGATTAGAAGTGAGATTGAACACAATCTTTGAATTGTTTCAAGAAAAAAAGACCTGGCCTAGAGTCAAAGAAATTCCATAAAAGCTGGGAAAAGCTATAAGGGAATGTGACAAAAGGACAGTTAGGATCAAAGATTCTATGGTCACTGTAATTCTGGAGGAGCTCCTGTGAAGCTTGAATGATTTGGCTACAGCTCTAGTTTGACCAGTCTAGACTCACCTGCTCCTATATACCCCACATTTAGCCATAATTACATCCCTTCTCAATTCTCCTAATATGCTGTGGGCTTGGCTCATGCTGCTCTCTCCATCCTTGTCCACATCAGAGCGAAGCATTCTGTAAGATGCCACATCCGTGCCATACTCTGTGGCTCCTCACCAGAGAAAATCCATGACTGCATCCTCCCTACATTGCATCCTGAATAGACATCCGGCCTATCCCTGAGCCCTGTGTTATGCGACCCGACCTGCTTACTGCTGTTCACTGGGCTGTGAGCCACCTAAGAGCAGGACCTTCGTCATCTGTCATCTTTGTTTTTAGGTCTGGACATAGTTCTGGCATGAACTGGATGCTCTGTAAATATTGGTTGAATACATTAAAGTTGTTGAAACCATTTCTGCTTCTGAAATCATGTTCAAGCTACAAAGAACTTCGATGGTGTGGAAGACCCTATGGAAACAGAATGAACTAAAATGGATGTCTCTTTATATTTACACACCCTCTTTCACATTGGTCGTTATTTTCCTTGTCGCATGGATGACCTCTAAGGCCCCTGTGGTGGCTGTTAGGTTCATGTTGCTTAACAAAATAGTTGAAGGTTATACTGACATAGAAATGTTCATTCATTCTTCAGATATTTATTGACTCCTGCTCTGTGAAGGAATTGTGCCAGTGATGAGAATGTTACAATACACGATACAGACATAGTTCTTGCCCTCACAGAGCACACCTGGGAAGGTAGATACACATGCATGCGTGACTTGATTCTGTAATAAATGCAATGAAGCAAAGGGGCCAAGAGCTGTGATAAGATGGCTTTGTGACGAATTAGCTTGGCAAGCCTGTACTGCAGGCCCCAGAATTCTTCTTCTGTTCTATGTTTCTGGTTAGGTTGGACTACAAAGAATATTCTCTAAAAACAATTTGAGAGTGGAAAGCAACCCTGCAGTCATTTTGTGGAAACACACACTTTTCCCAGTTACTGGAACACTAGTCTTAGTGTTTTTAAGAAAGATTTTATCAAAGTAATGTACATTTCCAAATTATTTGACTTTTTTAGTTAATCAAAACAGAGAATATTCTGGGTTGGTGTGACTTCATCAGGTGGAAGTCCCTTAAAAAGAGACTGGGGCCTTCTTGATAATCAGATGCTCTGAGCATCATGTGGGCCTGCAATGGCTTTTCATTACCCCAGGATATTCCCTCCCTCACTCCCAGCCCAGGCTTGCTTAGCCAGTCCCTAGAATCTTGTGCATTAATTCTCTCTCTGTGTGTAAATACATATGAATATATACACATATATGACATATACAGCACACATCTAATCTAATAATAGACAAACACGGTAATTGACCATACCTCTGCTACGCTTCCCATTGGCTAATCAGCAGGATATGCAAATTATCCCAACCAAGATGGCGGCCGGCAGCCACGCAGCTGAAGTGAGCAGGAGGCTTGCTTGCTCCAGTGATGGAGGAAGCCAAACTTCCTCCCTGCTGCGGCCCGGCTCTGAGCTCCACTCTAAGCAACAAAGTTGCAAATATAAAAGCTAAACAAACCCCAGATATCCTGCTTTCAGCAGGCTGTGGCCTCGGAGCTGGAGTGGCAACAAAGTTTCAATTATAGAAGGTAAATAAATCCCAGAAAAAAGAAAAAAAGGAGAGGCTGGGAGCTTCAGTCGCTGGCTTGGCCAGCCTGAAAACAGCCCTCAGCCCCTCATCCAGACTGGCAAGGCACCCCAGTGGGGACCCCCACCCTGAAGGGGGTGCGGGCAGCCTGAAAACAGCCATCAGCCCCTCACCCAGGCTGGCCAGGCACCCCAGCGGGACCCCCACCCTGATCCGGGACACCCTTCAGGGCAAACCAGCCGGCCCCCACCCATGCACCAGGCCTCTATCCTATATAGTAACAGGGTAATATGCAAACTGACCCTAACAGCAGAA